GAGCCATACAGCAAAAATTGGAGGACCCAACCTCCAACCGGAAACTGAAAATACAAAGATGCTAGTACATATAGGAGTGCGCCAAATCGATTGACCTCTTGTCCAAAAGCCTGAAAGGCTACAAGTTCAGGCAACTCCACAAACGTTCCAGGCATGGAGTTCTGTCCCACAGTGTGAATACAGTTTGCAAATTCCGACAGTATATGATTCGAAAGTTATTTTCGTGGCATTTTGTGGTGCTCCTAGAAGGAGTTTTGAGCAGGACCTCCCTGGAACACAGGCCTCCACCACCCGGAACAAAACATGAGCACTCCGTGTACACGCCACAGCAAACTTGAGCTGACACGAACCTTCACTTACCACCCTTTGTCTTCTTTTACCACAAGGCAACTGAAAAAACTGTAAACGCTCAAAAGGTGCTACGAATGCTGCTCCACGCATGCGTTAGCGGTCACTTGTGCTAAATTCTGCGCTTGCGGACACATGGCAGAATGGCAGCGAAAAGCTTCCTTCGTCCCTGGGTGGGCTCGAACCACCAACCTTTCGGTTAACAGCCGAACGCGCTAGCCGATTGCGCCACAGAGACCGGCGGCGTAACCTCCTATGGTTTGCGGTGACAAAAAATCAACGCTGTGCGTGCCACACAGATTAGACACAACACGTGTCCTGCGTCAGCAAACTGAGGTCAAGAGACTCATTGGAGACAGAGACCCGTTGGGAAGGGCGAGAGAGCCAAAAGGGACGCCCAACGTGGGGCTCGAACCCACGACCCTGAGATTAAGAGTCTCATGCTCTACCGACTGAGCTAGCCGGGCGGCTGCGACAGACTGCTGCGGGCTGGTCGTGCTTTTCATAAGTGCCCAAATGTCACACGCGAAACAGATCCTCACTTTTGGCACAGGCTTGAGAAAACCTCTTGCGGGTAAATTCTAGCGGTAGGCTTAGAGCAGGGGCGTCCAAACTAAGTCCTGGAGGGTCCTTGTCCTGCCGAGCTTAGCTCCAAGCCCAATGAAACACACCTGAAGCAGCTAATCAAGGTCTCACCAGGCAGACTAGAAACTTCCAGTCAGGTCTGTTGGAGCTGGCTGGAGCGAAACTCTACAGGACACTGGCCCTCCAGGACACAGTTTGGACACCCCTGGCTTAGAGTGTCCTTTGTTTGTTTTAGCCATGCCTGTTGCTGGGGAACACAGTTTGAACACGCAGAGCAGGCCGATAACATGCACAATCAAAGTTTGGACACCCCTGGCTTAGAGTGTCCTTTGTTTGTTTTAGCCATGCCTGTTGCTGGGGAACACAGTTTGAACAAGCAGAGCAGGCCGATAACATGCACAATCAAAACCCGGAGTTAAAGTTCCGTTTCAATCTGTCGCAAGAGAGAGCGGTCACTGAAGGCAAACTTTCCTAATTTCCAAAGGTAAAAAGTGAGCCATACAGCAAAAATTGGAGGACCCAACCTCCAACCGGAAACTGAAAATACAAAGATGCTAGTACATATAGGAGTGCGCCAAATCGATTGACCTCTTGTCCAAAAGCCTGAAAGGCTACAAGTTCAGGCAACTCCACAAACGTTCCAGGCATGGAGTTCTGTCCCACAGTGTGAATACAGTTTGCAAATTCCGACAGTATATGATTCGAAAGTTATTTTCGTGGCATTTTGTGGTGCTCCTAGAAGGAGTTTTGAGCAGGACCTCCCTGGAACACAGGCCTCCACCACCCGGAACAAAACATGAGCACTCCGTGTACACGCCACAGCAAACTTGAGCTGACACGAACCTTCACTTACCACCCTTTGTCTTCTTTTACCACAAGGCAACTGAAAAAACTGTAAACGCTCAAAAGGTGCTACGAATGCTGCTCCACGCATGCGTTAGCGGTCACTTGTGCTAAATTCTGCGCTTGCGGACACATGGCAGAATGGCAGCGAAAAGCTTCCTTCGTCCCTGGGTGGGCTCGAACCACCAACCTTTCGGTTAACAGCCGAACGCGCTAGCCGATTGCACCACAGAGACCG